TGTAACATTTTCCACCAACCAGTTGCAGTATATATAGTTAATAGTATTTTCTATTTTTATTTCTCCTTCCATAGGTGCTTCAGATTTATTTAGAAGCATCTCTGCTAGACTTAAAGACTCCATATCATCTGATCTGGTTGTAGTGTCAGCAAGTCTTTATGCTAGGAGCCTGATAACAACCCAGCTACATGAGGAAATGCTCAAGGGTCTTGGTAGCAATTCAAATAAAGCTGCCAAGCTTGTAACTGTACTACAGGAAAATCTTCATGCCCACTCTAATCCTGAGACATATCTACAAAAAGTGTGCTCAGCATTGAAAGAGAAAGGGCAGAAACAAATTGTTGATATAGTGAATGAATTGGAACATACATGTAAGTTAAGATTAGTTTTAGTTATTTTTTATTACAGCATCTGTCTTATCATTTTCTCATATACATGTACATGTAGTTAGTAAATTGTACACATGTATGTAGCAATCAGAGTCAGTATCAGTTGACTATTGCAATTATATTTCATGTTTTGCAACTATAAAACCGCCATTAATTATACTGCTTGAAAGGCACATTTTATTGGGGACATAATCATAGTATTCATTATCAGGATATATAATATCTGTGGGACTTGTTTGTCTTGAATTACTATGCTAAATACTGTTGTATAAACTGTTCCCATGCACTCTACTCAGACACACACACAAGTCACAGCTCTTCTTTGCACAATGTAATTTTCCAAAAAATAATCTAGGCTAAATTCAACTAAATTGCAACTTGTAGGTTAAGCTTATACATGGTAATATCCTTTTAAAGTTAAAATGTAACCATTGCAATGTCCAACCTTTTTATCATAGTCACTCCCTCAGTAGCTACATTGTAGAACAAGTCACAACTGATAATCCTGCCACTACCTTTGGTTTTATTGTATGACACATATTTACATATTTTTTTTACTTTTTACAGTATCCATTTCAACAATGCAATCTATTGACAGCAGCAGTGCTAGTGTTCCTACTAATAAACCTGAAGACACTCCAGCTTCTAATAGAATACAAGGTATATTCACTCATACATTACATTACAACAACTACATACACTTATTATAACCTCATACATGTACTAATTCAAGCCATTAAAAGTAGTGCTCATTACCATATTAATTTTTAGGAAGATTAGAAAAATGGCTAAAAGAAGGAAAAGTTCAGCTCAAAGTCACTCGTATCAATATGCATGGTGCACCTGGAGCTGGTAAAACATGTTCACTACACCTCCTACTTAATGAGCCACCGCCAGCTTCTACTGATAGTACATCAATAGCTTGTCCTGCTGTTCAGCAAC